CAAGGAAAAGCTTAGTAGAAGGTTTTTTGCAAACCAGTGAAGGAGCTTAAAGATGGTAAGAAAAGGGAGCTAATCTTATTTTTGTGGCAGCCTCTGGAACTGCCTAGAGGATGGAGAGAGGGCTCCAGAGAAAAAGATGACATATATCATTGGTTTCCATGGTGATGACTAACAGAGTCACCGTCAGAGCACTATGACTTCAGAATAGAAATGAGGATATAAAAAATAACATCTACTGGACTAGCATATATCCCTTTTAAATCCCTTCCCAAGCTCTTAAGTGTTTACTCATTAATTTTCACAACACCTGTGAAGTAGAGAGTGTTATTCATTTTATTTCAGAGATTAAGAAACCAAAACAGGAGCAGTCTAAATGGACACAGTGTCTGAAGAAGTATACTGCTGCTAATCTTTTACCCTACATTATAAACTTGTGAAATAATCGATATGAAAGACTGTTTTATTGGTTTCATGGTGAGGAATATGTTGAGCTAATCATTTTTGGAAAATGCACTAGCATTGTATGGAGGAAAAACTCTAACAGTGATTCTTATATTTCTCCTTTGCTTACAAAACAAGAAAAAGCAGACATTTCAACCTTTTCAACAACTCAGCATAACTTGCCAAACTTTTTGTGTCAAAAATTGCCGGTACGTCTTCCCCACAAGTTACTTTTATTGCAACTGGCATTCTTTCAGGGTTTTTATATTTTTTCTAGGCTTTGTTTCACTTTAATCTTCTGTCGCCTTCTCCGCCCCCCCCCCAACCCCCTTCATTCATCTGTCCAATAAGGCCCTTCAAACACACCCTCAAAACCAGGGGTGGGCCTGTGACTGCATCACTATAAAGTTCTTAGGAGAACCTAATTTACATGGAGAGGAAGTTTGTATAGTAGTTAAAGAGGTTTTGGAACCAGACAAACTGATTTCTAATTCTGCCTCTGCCACCTACCAGCATGGTGACCTTGGACCAACTACTTCTCTAACCTTAAAATAAGATTGTATTAGTATATACTTCACCGGGTTGTTGAGGATAAAATGGGAAAATGTATATATAGCATTTAGTAATTTTTACCTTTTTTATTGTGGTATATTTGACATATAACATCATATTAGTTTCAGATGTAAAACATAATGATTCAATATTTGTGTATATTGTGAAGTGATCACCCCAATACGTCTAGTTAACATCTGTCACCATACAGTTACAAAAATTTTTTTCTTGTGATGAGAACTTCTACGATCTACTCTTAGCAACTTTCAAATATGCAATACAGCATCATTAACTATAGTCACCATGCTGTACATTACGTCCCCATTACTTATTTTATAACTGAACATTTATATCTTTTGAACCCCTCCACCCATGTTGTCCACCCTCCACCCCCCACCCTTACCTCTAGCAACCACCAATCTGTTCTCTGTATCTGTGGGTAAAGCATTTAGTAATTATTCCCAGGGCTATGAAAAGCCAGTAGTCCCTCCCTAGGTGGCTTTCCTTCCACTTTCTCCTATCGTATTTCACATTCCCCACCTTAGTTTTAAAGCCTTTTGACACTCATCTCTTTTTGGAGATTTTTCTTTATTCATATCTTGAGAACAAAGAGAAAGAATGCTCAGAAAAGCTATGGTCATGCTCAGTATCTATTTGGACCTCAGGAAGTGCCTGGGGACTACGGACCCAGAGACCAAAGCTTTTTTTCTTTCTGGGTGTCCCTCTTACAAATCATGTGATCTTGAGCAAGCTACTTAATTTCTCAGATCTTCATATCCTACTCTGTAAAATAGCATTGTAATACCTACTTCGTTGGTGATCACAGGGATCTTAGTAAAGTTAAAGGTGATTAATGTGAAAATTGCCTTGAACAGTATAGTAATAGAAGAACACTTACTGACATGAGAAAATGCTCATGATCTATTACTAAGTGAAAAGAAGTATTTTATATCATTTTGGGGTTTTGTTTTTTAAAACACCACACACACACACACACACACACACACACACACACACACACACACACACACACAAATAAGGAAAAGTGATCTGAAAGGATTTTTGCCAAAATGTTAAACAATGGCTATCTGTAGGTGAGGGTCATGGGGTGTGTGTGTGTGTGTGTGTGTGTGTGTGTGTGTGTGTGTGGTTTTCTCTGTTTTCTAAGTGTTCTGCATTAAACGTGAGTCCTTTTCCTTTTAGGGAGAAAAAGCGAAAATGAAATTTAAAAAGGAAACTTTTCAAAATTTTTAAAAGTATTATATGGTGATTCATAGGTACGCAAAGAACGACCAAGGAAGAAAAGCAATCAAAGTACCAGGGAATGTGGAAAAAGGAAGGAGCAGCCAAGAGGTGGGGGCAGGAAGAGGGAGGAAAAGAGGTCAGGGAGAGGACATGTGTTAAGTTGGGACTAAGACTCAGAAAGAGCCTTGTCTTCTTCTAAGCATCTGTTGCTGGGACTGCCAAAAAGTCTGTGGGGATACAGAAGCTGTGTCCCAGCCAGGCAGGCCACCGACGTTCAAAGTTCACTGGGGACCTGGGAGCCCCTCGGCTTCTGAGCGCCAGTCCACAGAAAGGGTGGTGTCCTCGCCAGCTTACGTAAACGCCAAAAGATGACCTCGAGCCTAGGAGACTTGGATTTACGACGGTTTGATTTACTCTCCTCCCGTGAGCAATAAACCAAAACCTATCACCACTAGGTGGCATGCCCCAAATACTATTTCACTTGGAAACTGAAAGAAAGTTGGTATGTCAGGGAACCACAGACACCCTATAAGTCAGAAGCACTGTTAGAGACAACAAGGTAAAGATGGTTTAAGGTTTTCAGTTTCTCTCTGTTAAAAATAAAAACAATCACCACCTCTCCAGAAGAATCTGTTCAGTGTGTTTCTCATAGACACATCTGGCTTTCCCCGACCCCCACCTCCATCAGTGTCTACAACCAACAACCCCATTCTTTACCAACCAAAATAAATTAAGTGGCCCATCTAATACTCCAAAAGTGGAAATAGGTCTCTGGTGCCATCATAAAATAATATCCAACCATAGATGTAACATTAGCAGTAGTAGAAGAAGACCAGAAAAGTCCTCATGTAGAATCTGTTATAGTGGAGGAAGGGCTAGAGGGTATTCAGCCCAAAATGAATATACTCCATTTGATCAAATAAGCTTCTCTTTCTAAATATCAGTGCTACTGCCAAGACCTCTATATTTAGCTAGGGCTATCAGTCAATTTACACCTTGCTGTGGATTAGTTTTCTCTACCATCTCTTCTCCTAGAAGTTACATGTGATTGGTTATTCTATGAGAATAGGATTTTGGTCAGATGGCTAAAGAGAAGGATAATTTTGGATCCCATGAAAGAAGCACCCAGACAGAATAAGACAGGGTGGAATCTTGAACTTGAGGGCTTTGCATGAGACTGCTGAGGCTCACCGAACTCTTGGCACTTTTGAGTGAGGAGAGAAGACAGCAGATGGAGAAATAATTAAAAGGAAGTGCTGAAATAAAGGGATGTGACAAGCCACATTTTGCNCAATGAGGAAATCGCTTCCCCTTAAAAACCTTGTATATCCAATAAACGGTTGTCTTAGCCTGTTACCAGCAGGCTGAGTCCCTCCGGTCCCCAGCTTTTGTCTCTATTCTCTTTATTTCTCGTCTCCCACCCAATCCTCTCAGGTACCCTTTTGGTGAACTCCGGGCTGACGAGTCAGGAGCGCCCGTGAGCGAGCTGGTCTCATTCACCCTTCTCCCTGAATCAGGTCATAAACCCCTAATATGAGAGGCACCCTCCCTATACCCAGAGGAAAGGAGCTGCCTACTCTCTGAAGATAAACAAAGAAGAATCCTAACAGGCTTTGCTAAGTTTCCCCCAGTTTACTACACTAACTTCATATTCCTTAACCTCTCATATTTCCACACAACTGCCCACTCTTCATCAAGCATAAAAATACACAGCTCGAACTGTTTCTTTGGGTCTTCATTTCCTTATGAAGGATCCTGTATCACATAAAACATATTCAATAAGTGTATGCTTGTCTCCTGTTAATCTGCCTTTTTCAGTTTAATTTTCAGACTCAGCCAGGGGACTCTAAGAGGGTCAAGGAAAACTTTTTTCTCTCCTACAACCCTGTTGTGGGATCAAAGACATAAAAGTAACCCCAAAGAACGCCTAGAGACTAGTAATGAGTCTGTATCTCCATTCTCTTAAAGAAAACACTCGCCTTGATCCCAGTCCAGGGTCTCCATCATAATGAGACTAGCTCCTTAAAACTGGTCAAATTCCAGTTTAATAACAAACATTATTGAGCTCTCCATATGTACCAAACCCTGAGCTCGGCACCAGAGCTACAGAATGATTATGGAACCTCTATTTCATCATCTGTAAAAATACAGTAATAATAACACAACAATAATAGTGTTATTATACATATGCAATGATAGAATGTATGTAAAGCAATTAAGTATGGACCACTGTGAGCCATGAGGGCCACTGTCACTCCCCCGTCCTTTATTCTATCACCACCATAGAGACCACCAAGCAAATGGCTTACTTCTGGTTTAATTTAACTTTATATCCAACTCATTCTAGTTCCTTTGTGCCTGCAAACCCACAAGAACTAAATGAGGCTTTATCTGGTCATCTGTCCCCTGCAAACACTGCCATTTGGCAGAGCAAAGCCCTGACTTATTCTCCTTTCAGCTTGGCATTTGGGACGCAAACCAGCAACGAGAAGATCATTTACCAGGGAGAGAGAGAAGGTGCATGCAGACATGGGGAGGCAAGCCAGAAACAAAGGTCAACTCAAGGCTTTCACTTCCAGCCCCAGAATGGTAAGCTAAGTGAAAGATGGCACCTCAGGTACTGCCTGTCAGCCCCCACCGGCCCTCTAAACTGGGAACCATCGAGAACTTGGTGAGATATTCAGACCCACTTTCACTGGAGTTAGAACCAGACTAGGCACAGAGATTTTTAAAGATAAGGATACTGTCCTCAGGGCACCCACTTCACAGCCAAGCTTTCATTCTTCCAGTTCTTTCTCCCTGTCAGGGGCTCAGCTTTGTGGTGCTTCTCACATCCTCACAGCCACTCTGCAGCAAGATGTCAGACAGACGCTTAGCCTCCTGCTGGGAAAGAGAAACTAAAGTGAAGGAGAATGTTTTAAAGGAGAATATATGGAGGCTGAGAAAACTATTAAATCAGCATACTTTTCCTGTTTTTCTTGTTAAGTGACTCAAAAGGAGGGGAGGGGAAAAGGAGGGACACTTCAACACTGAAAAATGACTACTGGCAGAAAGTTGCAAGAGAATTGGTTCTGAATATCTTCTTCTAAGGGATACTGTTTTCTGTTACTGTACCGTCAGGTCTCACTGTATTGGTTGGATAACTGAAAGCTGCTTGGTAACATGGAGAAACTGATTTCAAATATTCACTGGGAAATTCACATGATTCATTGCTCCAGATTAAGTGTTGTAATAAAGATAGCTTGTCTTCATGTGCCAAACAACTCTCAAGAAAAGAAGGAATATCAGATTTTCAAAAATCTAGTTGAACTCATTTACAAAACATTAATAATATAGATGACCTAGCATAATATCCATCTGATACCCTGCAGATGATATCTAGTATTATTGATTTGATTTCACTTGACTTTAAGAATTACAGTTAGAGCCATCTATTTATGGTGACTTCTTTTTTTTTTT